TTTATGTCGTTGTGGGACGATTTGGCTTCTTCGCCATCTGTTGAGGCTTGGCGTGATTAAAATTCGTGTGCTTCGGAAGTAGACTGGGCTTTTGTTTAGCATACGATTGCACAGACACTGTCGAAGCTAGACCTCCTTTGTAAAGCATCAGGTCAACAAGACTGAACGCTTCTGCCGTACACTCTTTCTGTACTTGCGTGAATAAAAAAATTGAGGTATGACAATAGTTGTTCTAAAATCTACTCTCTACGAGTGTAAGTAGTACCGTCGAGTGTAATGGAAAATACCAGTTTATAAAAATTTGTCCACTATTTCGTTTAAGATGATGAAGCACTGGTAGTTGAGTTTTCCTGCAGTCATACAAGTAGACCTTATGTAAAAAACTATGTCTTTTATGCGGTATAGTGTGATTTATTTGATTAATGCGATATGCCAATGTAAAGGCACATAGGTGTGTGTGTGTTTGTTCGTACCTTCGTATGTGCATCAGTATCAAGAGTGTTTGGAACAGGGTTCCTCACTCATCAGGGGTTATTACCCTCTTTTTTCCATCCGTTTTAGTCATGCCGGACATACGTCTGGTTAATTGGATGCCATTTTTTTCATTTGCATGCGCCCATTTCAGACGTAAGTCTACCATCTAGGCATGAGTGCTTCTTGACTTCTCACCCACTGGCTCTCGTGGCAGTGTGCCGCAGTGGTGACGTGTCGATAAGACCATAACCCGGACTCTACTCCCTTCTCAGGCTGCTGATGGAAGCCGCAGCCGGGTTGTTTGGGCAGGTTGCTATCCCGTTGTACACGAATACCTTTTTTCGAAAGAGAATAACGGATTTTCGCAACGGATTTTCTTTTTTCTTGTGCATCTCAAAAGCTCTTGCTCATCCAGGCTGGACTGTGGGCTATCGGTTAAACAATGATGACATGTTTGACCTCTTTTCGTATCACTTTTGGGCAAATGCATCAACATTTTTCGTTTATGGGCTGCCTTTCGAGACTACCAGTACGAGATGTGATCATCCTATTTCGTTTTGTGGTGATGAAGAACTGGTAGTTGAATTCTCCCACATGCATGAGTAAACATGACGTTTACATTTACTTTCGTATGGCTTTGCCTCCTTTAAAGGTGTTCTTATCCAGACTGGACTGCAGTTTCGACCTCGCCTATGTCTTATCTGCACCCACAGCGGGACTCGAACCATGACGGGGCAGCGTATACTCTCGATACGATGCATCATTGCGGAAAAATGCAACTATTTATCCATCTCCACCTTAAACGAAATAGGCTGAGCACACCACAAATATCCGATTTACTGTTAGTCTCGAAACCCTACTTATAAATTATGTAGTCAATTGAAGATATGAAGACCAAGATGTTGTGGCCTCTGGTATGGTCGCAGTGTCTTTTCGATTTATACAAATGGGTTGACCTCGTTGTCGCAACTTGGTCTTGTTGTCAGGGCGACTACGTAGAACGCACCTAGTCCGAAG